GACAATCATTCGTAAATTTTGACACATTTCATGAGTTAGGTCACTAACTGTACAGCTGCCTAGCGCACCAGGCCCCGATGGCGAGATAATGTCAGATAATTGGATGTGGGTCGGTCGCAGTGGTTAACAATAGTAAACAGCCCATCTTTGAGTTCCATACATGCCCTGGTCCCCACAGATTGCGCCAGGCTCTCAGGGGGGGAGCCTGGATCTCGCGCCCGTGAGAGCGCCATATGGACCACATTTAAAAGAAGTCATTAAACCTGTTTCTCAGCCCCTTCGTCAGTTACCCCACTTACACTGTACTGGCCACGGAGACCGGGTTATCTCGGGCTGAATGCGGGGTCAGAGTCATCCGTTCAGTTGACAGTCTTCCAAGTCCAAACTTTTAGGGCATCGCGATAGCTCCAAGGCGCGTTATATTCATTGTTATGTGGAATACGCCGAAGTTCCGCAGAGACTGATTCGCTAATGTCCTCTCTCTCTCTCTTCTCTCATTTATCAGTCTATTGTACAAGCTGGTCAATGATATGGCGTCAGGGTAAAGAAAAATGGATGGGAAGTTGAGTCATACAATGAACGCAAACTCAGAAGAGGATAGTTTGTAGATGCCACCAACAAAAATCAAGGTGACTGAAATTTGTGGTTATGATTTATTTCCAGGAATTAGCTAATGATATCGCAAGCCTATTCTCCGGGAAACCTTAAGAAGGTCAGTTGGCCATTTGGTGTTTAAGTCAAACAATTTGCCTCCACAGTAAAGGGCCCACGTTCTGACGGCTGTAAATGTCGTACTTTTACATTTGAGTGGTGTTCATCAGCCTTTCCTAACTGCGTAGTGGAATACGGGTGTATGGGGTGTCAGCGGTGGGTTCACGTGAGGGTCGTGGTGGTCGCTCACTTGCTTGCAGGTGAGACTACGCCTAGCGTTCACTTGCTGGCACTCAACTCTCACCTGTGGCTCCACGTAGCTGGGCTCTGCTCAGCGGCCACACCCCGGGCAACCGTCTCGACCGGCGGGCTAAACCAGGTGAGGGGGCCCTGTGCGCTGTGCCGTGTGCACAGGGTTTGCGGATTCCGCTGGATGGAAGGTCGGATGGAACCTTGCGTCGGCACCGTCGTGACGTGGTTCGTCTCTGCACGCCGCTGGACAGCCGGTGACGGGATGGATCTCCACATCGACATCGCCTTGACGCGCCCACCTATGCCGTCGGAGACCGCGGCTTACGGCGAATTCGAATCGCTCTCCACTACAACCCGAAGTCGTGGCCCCATAGTGGAGTTCGGCCGTGCCACAACGGCACATGGCAGCCCTATTCAGGGATGGCACTGCCAGCCCCCACGAGGGGAAGGACCTAGAAAAGGTGGCCTAAACATTGCTGGGCACCACGCCGTCTTCAGGCTAGTCAGGGCCGCAGACGTCTAAACATGGTCGAAACAATCAAAATCGAAACAACAACAATACCTATAACAACAACAACAATACTCGCTCACCCCCTCATCCTACCTCATCTTTCTATTCCTCTACCTATTCTTCTGCCTATTCTTCTCCTTCGCCATCTTCTTCTCCATCTCCTTCCCGTCGCCCCACTCGTTGTCACCAGACTGGCAGGGTGAGTCCGCTCACTCTGGCAGCCTGGAATGTTCGTTCCCTTTTAGACAATCCGAGGAGCAGCCGACCGGAACGAAGGACGGCGCTAGTGGCACGGAAACTGGCGCGCTACAAGGTGGACATCGCCGCACTCAGCGAAACCCGATTCTCCGAACAAAGCCAACTGAAGGAGGTGGGTGCCGGCTACACCTTCTTCTGGAGCGGTCGACCCAGGGCAGAGCGACGGGACGCGGGTGTCGCCTTCGCCATTCGGAACGACATCGTGGGACGACTGCCCGGTTTGCCGCAGGGCATCAACGATCGCCTGATGAGCCTCCGCCTGCCTCTCTGGGGAGGCAAATTCGCCACCATCATCAGCGTCTACGCTCCGACGATGACCAACCCCGACGCCGTCAGAAACAAATTCTACGAGGACCTGTACGCCCTCTTGGCGACTGTGTCGAAGGCGGACAATTTGATTGTCCTTGGTGACTTCAACGCCCGCGTCGGCACAGACCATACTGCCTGGAGAGGAGTGCTGGGTCCCCACGGTCTCCACGGCTCAAACGACAATGGTCTGCTGCTTCTCCACACCTGCGCAGAGCACCGCCTCATCCTGACGAACACGTTCTTCTGTCTGCCGGAGCGAGAGAAGGCCACCTGGAGGCATCCTCGGTCGCGTCAGTGGCACCTGCTGGACTATGTCCTCGTCCGGAGGCGAGACCAGCGGGAAGTGCTGGTGACAAGGGCGATTGCGGGCGCTGACGGGTGGACCGACCATCGCCTCGTCATCTTGAAGATGCGTATTCGCCTACAGCTTTGCAGGAGACCACAAGGTAAGCGACCCCCAGGTAAGCTGAATGTTGCCTTGTTGTCTCTGACCGCTCACCATCTTCATTTCAGCAATGAGCTAGCTCAAAAGCCAGACAACCTTCCTATCGTTGCCGACGCCGCCGCTGCCGAGAACGCCGCCGTGGAGAACCGCTGGTGTCAACTGCGAGACACGGTCCAGTCGACGGCGCACGGCGTCCTCGGTCGCGCTCCCCGCCAACACCAGGACTGGTTCGACGACAACGACGCCGCCATCAGAAATCTGCTTGCTGAGAAGAACCGCCTACACAAAGCCTACGTAGATCACCCCACTGATGCCACCAAAGCTGCCTTCTACCGCAGTCGCCGCCAACTTCAACAACGACTGCGCGAGATGCAGGACGCCTGGACTGCTCGCAAAGCTGAGGAGATCCAAGGGTACGCGGACCGCAAGGAATGGAAGAACTTCTTCTCTGCGATCAAAGCTGTCTACGGTCCGCCGACGAAGGCCACTGCTCCTCTCCTCAGCGCCGACGGCAGCACTCTCCTGACTGAGAAGACGCAAATCCTACAGCGATGGGCCGAGCATTTCCGTGGCGTCCTCGACCGCTCCCCCGTCATCTCCGACGCCGCCATCGAGCGTTTGCCGCAAGTGGAGACCAGAGTGGACCTCGACCTCCCGCCATCTCTCCAGGAGACCATCAGGGCCGTGCGGCAGCTCTCCAGCGGGAAAGCACCCGGATCGGACGCGATCCCTGCTGAGGTCTACAAGCACGGCGGTCCCCAGCTGATGGATCACCTGACTGCGCTCTTCCAAGAGATGTGGCGTCAAGGTGAAGTCCCGCAAGATTTCAAAGACGCAACCATCGTGCATCTCTACAAGCGCAAAGCGAATCACCAAGTCTGCGACAATCACCGCGGCATCTTCCTGCTGAGCATCGCCTGGAAGATCTTCGCTCGCATCCTTCTCAACCGCCTCAATAACCATCTGGAACAGGGCCTTCTGCCGGAAAGCCAATGCGGCTTCCGTCGTCATCGTGGGACCACGGATATGATCTTCGCCGCCCGTCAACTTCAGGAGAAGTGTCAGGAGATGCGGACCCACCTGTACTCTACCTTCGTGGACCTGACGAAAGCCTTCGACACGGTGAATCGTGAAGGACTGTGGAAGATCATGCAGAAATTCAGCTGTCCGGAGCGATTCACTCAGATGGTGCGTCAGCTGCACGACGGTATGATGGCGCGAGTCACGGACAACGGAGCTGTCTCAGAGGCATTCGCAGTAACCAATGGAGTGAAGCAGGGCTGCTTACTGGCGCCTACCCTCTTCAGTCTTATGTTCTCTGCCATGCTGATGGACGCCTACCGCGACGAACGCTTCGGGATCCGCATCGCCTACAGAACGGACGGTCACCTCCTGAATCAACGGCGGATGCACTTCCATTCGCGCGTATCCACAACCACCGTTCACGAACTCCTCTTCGCCGACGACTGCGCCCTGAACACCATCTCGGAAGAGGAAATGCAACGCAGCATGGACCTGTTCTCCGCCGCCTGCGAGAACTTCGGTCTGGTCATTAACACGCAGAAGACGGTGGTGATGCATCAACCGACACCCAACTCAGCCACAGCCCCCAACGCGCCGCCGCAAATCAGCGTGAACGGAACCCAACTGCAGGTGGTGGAGAACTTCCCGTACCTGGGCAGTACTCTCTCCCGCAACACCAAGATCGACGACGAAGTCGCCAACAGGATCTCGAAAGCCAGTCAAGCCTTCGGTCGCCTCCAAGGCACAGTTTGGAATCGCCACGGTCTTCAGCTGAGCACGAAGCTGAAGATGTACAAGGCCGTCATCCTGCCGACACTACTGTATGGAGCGGAGACTTGGACGGTGTACGCAAAGCAGGCACGCCGTCTGAACCACTTCCACCTCAGCTGTCTTTGTCGCATCCTAAGGCTGAACTGGCAGGATCGAATCCCCGACGCTGATGTGCTGGAACGGACGGGAATCCTCAGCATCTACGCCATACTGAGACAAATGCAGCTGCGCTGGAGCGGCCACCTGGTGCGCATGGACGACGAGCGACTACCCAAACGACTCTTCTACGGAGACGTCGCGACGGGTTCCTGCCGTCAAGGGGGCCAGATTCGCCGTTACAAGGATACCCTGAAGTCCTCCCTGAAACGCCTGCAAATCAACCCCACCAACTGGGAGGAGCTCGCACTCGATCGACCGACCTGGAGGAGGACAGTGAAGACAGGCGCTGCGATCTGCGAAGCCAACCGCATCGCTGCCGCCAAAGCGAAACGCGAAGCCCGCAAATCACAACTTCGCCCAGTACGCAACGCCGCCGCACAACCGCTTCCAACGTGTCCTCGATGTCAACGGACATTACGGGCTCGAATCGGACTTGTTGGACAATCTTCGGATTAACTGCGACTCTCGAACGGCACCAACCATCGTCCACCCGCCCGCCTCTTCCTCCTCCTCTCCGCCGCCAACTAACTCTGACAATTCCTATGACCCACCATTTCCATCCTCCTCCTCCTCCTCGTCCACTGCTCCAACGACGGCCGCTCAGGCAACTGTCCCGCGCGCAGCAACCGACACTATTACCACCTCCCCCGACTCCAGCGATGAGGATCAGGACTACACCTGCCCTCATTGCGACCGCACCTTCACCTCACACATCGGCCTGGTCGGTCAGTTGCTAATCCATCGCACAGGGACTGGCGAACCAGTGCCTGAAGCACCAACCTACACCCACCGCACTCGCCTCCACTGCCCACAATGCACTCGCACCTTCAGGCATCGCATGGGCCTTTTTGGCCACATGCGCATCCACGAGAGCGGCCTTGACGGCACTCCCGACACACCCACCACATCCAACACATCTACCGTGCACACCCCCATCCTCGCTCCATCCGTCTGCGCCACCACCACCGCCTCCTGTGGAGCTGACACTGACACCGCCGACTTCTCATGCCCACACTGTCGACGCACATTCACCTCACGCATCGGCCTGGTCGGTCACTTGCGAATCCATCGCACAGAGACTGGCGAACCAGTGCCTGGAGCACCCACCTATACCCACCAAGCTCGTCTCAACTGCCCACACTGCCCTCGCACTTTCAGGCATCGCATGGGTCTGTTCGGCCACATGCGCATCCACGACGACCTGCGGTAGACAACCGCCGGCCACACCACACATTCACTCACTCCCTATCTCCTCCACCACCACCATCACCCCATCAGAAATCAACACTCACACACCTCATGCACCCAAATGCCACCTCCCACGCAAGTGGGAAGTGTGCATCTCGACTCGGTCCCCATGCGGCTTCGGCTGCACTGGTGACTTGAGTCCGAGACTATCCCGACACGTCAAGCGTCGTGGATAGGAAGGTTGCTGGTTGACGCCCGCTCTCTGTTCACACAGTTCGTCGCGTTGTGTGTGTGTGTGTTGTGTGGAGTGGCGGACTGGTGGGCTGGGAACGGGCTGAAACAGTACCTTCCACGGCACTCTCACGCAAGTGAGAGACACGCCGTCCAACCCCCGTTGTGTGAAATCCTGGTGTTTGTGTGTGTATGGGGGGCCAGGTCGTGCCGTGGCGCGCGCAGTCATGGTCAGTCGACCATGAGAGCCACCGCGTCCATTTCCCACTCCAGTCTGCTGACCGGCTCGGACAGCGGCTGGGGTGTGGGAGTGGGAAGGGAGAGTGAGGTCGACGACTCAGCGCATTTTCCTCACTATAAACAATCTGACGCGCTTGAAGCTATCACGGTGCGCTAAAAGCCGTGGCTTGGAAGGTTGCCAACTGACGGGGTAACTTGGACCTCCTCCTTGACTGGAGGTGGTCTGAGAGTCAGGCTGCAATGGCTCCTTTTTAATGTGGCCTTTATGGCACTCCTATCACAGTGTGGGATCCGAGCCAGGCGTTGGCGGCACGCCCAGATGCGGTTTCGCCCGTGTCAGCCTCCAAATCTCTGTTGTGTCGGTTGGAATCCTGGTCACTTGTTGTGTGGACCAGGGGGTGTGGTGGAACGCCAAGGTGAGGATCCGTTCGAGCCATCTACCTGCGGCCTCCCTCGTCTCCGGTCTTCTTGACTCTTTCTTGTCACCGGGCTCGGGCGAGGGAGGAGGAGAAAGTGTAGGTAGATGCTACGCAAGTCTACCGGCACTATAAACCCCTGCGTAAGTTACCGTCCCTGCTCCCATTGCTGCTGCAACTGTGGGGCACACGGTGGACATCATCGAAACCGATGGTCGAACTGTCAGTGGAATACGGGCAAACACATTTCTCTCTGGGGTGAACAACGTTCATTATAAACAAAACTAAGGCTCTGTTTGATGTCGGAGGGGCGAGACGCCGGAATCCTCTTCGGCATTAAGAACAATGTGGCGCAACTGCTGTGATGTCCTAGTTGGAAATCGACAGATATGTAACTGTGCTCTGCGTCAACGAATTTACAAGCGTTGTCAGTGCCTACTTGCTCTAA